AAAGTTTTAACTAAATAGCCATATTATCGATTAAGGGTAATTAAACTTGATTAGTGCTTAATTATGATTAAAGAAATATTATGTAATCTTTTAAAAATTATACTATATTCCCAAAAACCTGAAATTCTTGCAAACAAATCCAAACACCTTCTTCTTCCTCCCGCCATTAATGCATCTCCACCTTGGTTGCTGTTTCTTCTTAGCTTCGTCTACATCTTCTTCTTCATCTGCATCTTCTTCTTTGTCTACATCTTCTTCTTCCTCCTTCCTCTACATCTTCTTCTTCCTCATTCCGCTATATCTTCTTGTTCCTCTGCCATTAACACTTTCTTCTTCCTCCACCATTAACATCTTCTCTGCCAAAGATCCCCTCCTCCTCCTCTTGAAATTTCGTCTAAGTATGTGTATCTCCTCTTTATATTTTATATTTACATTTACAAAGATTTAATAATGGATAGGGTTTGGGTTATGATTTTGATTTAGTTGTTTAGGTTGTTGGGTTGTGTTTGATGTAATGCAAGTTGAAAGGAGTGAAATTTGTGAATATTTTCTTGCATTGTGAGGAGCTAGGGGTGATAGCACCGATTGTACATGGAGATGGCGAAAATGTGTTTTGGATCTGATGGACAGAAGATCGCTTAAGCGATATGGTATAAGTCTGGTATATGACAGAAGATCGCTTAAGCGATCTGGTATAAGTCTGGTATACGATAGAAGATCGCTTAAGCGACCTGGTATAAGTCTGGTATATGGCAACAGATCGCTTAAGCGATCAGATATATGGCAGCAGATCGCTTAAGCGATCAAGCTTATTTGTAATAGATCGCTTAAGTGATATACTGGATCGCTTAAGCGATGCAGTAAGCTATATACTTCGGTAAGAAATTATATTCCATAATGTTTATTTAATATTTAGTCCTTTTTATTAATTATTAATTATTATTTTCATTTTAATAGAATGTGAAAAGAACACTTCGGTCTTTGTCAATCAACACCGTACATAAAACTGAAAAATCTATTGTTATTCTATTATTTTTGTTAGTTCTTGGTAAGAAAGTAATATAAAAAAAATATAATATTGATATAAAATTTAACTCTGCAACCATCTGCTCTGCACTCTGTAGACCAAGGCTAAATAGACGGGATCGCTTAAGCGATTAAGGGTAATTTACTTCAATATTTATTTTCCATGTTTATGGACATATGTTTAATATAGATGTAAAAGAACTAATTTAATTAAAATATAATAACGGTCATGGTCCACTGAACGAATCGTACACCTGATATGTTTAATATAGACGTAAACATTCTACACCATATATGTTTAATATAGCCGTAAAAGAACTAATTTAATTAAAATATAATAACGGTCATGGTCCACTGAACGAATCGTACACCTGATATGTTTAATATAGACGTAAACATTCTACACCATATATGTTTAATATAGCCATAAAAGAACTAATTTAATTAAAATATAATAATGGTCATGGTCCACTGAACGAATCGTACACCTGATATGTTTAATATAGACGTAAACATTCTACACCATATATGTTTAATATAGCCGTTAAAGCACTAATTTAATTAAAATATAATAATGGTCATGGTCTACTGAATGAATCGTACACCTTATATGTCTAAGATAGCGTTAATCGCTTAACCAATCTTAACCAATCTAGTGAAATAGAATAAAAATAATCTAAATACACTGGATCGCTTAAGAGATTTCATTTCTTGCTTAAGCGATCCTGTGTATTTAGACTAGTTGCTTAAGAGATCTGGTTGTATTTATGTTATCGCTTAAGTGATTTTATGCTTTTACACTTGGTCGCTTAAGCGATCTATCACGAACAAGACAGAATCAATAAGTGCCCAGACGCAAGATTGCTTAAGCGGTTTATTCTATCGCTTAAGCGATCCTTTGCTTTTAACATTGGTCACTTAAGCAATCACAAATTGCTTAAGCGATCATGTTCGAGGCAGAATAAACTTCTGCCTAGATGCACAATTGCTTAAGCAATTAAGTGTATTGCTTAAGCGATTCTTCACTTTTACTATTGGTCGCTTAAGCGATCGTAGATCACTTAAGCGATTGTGAACAAGACAATAAATAAGTGCCCAGACGCATGATTGCTTAAGCGATCCTTTGCTTTTAACGTTGGTTGCTTTAAGCGATTTATAATCGCTTAAGCGATCATGTCCGAAGCAGAATCAACTTTTGCCCAAATGCACGATCGCTTAAGCGATCTAAAATCGCTTATACCAGATTGCTTAAGCGATCTTCTGTCATATACCAGATCGCTTAAGCGATCCTTTGCTTTTACTCTTTGCGCTTAAGCGATTTTAGATCGCTCAAGCAATCCTTTGCTTTTACTCTTGGTCGCTTAAACGATTTTAGATCGCTTAAGCAATCTTGTGTATTTAGACTTAGTCGCTTAAGAGATCTGGTTGTATTTATGTTATCGTTTAAGCGATTCTATGCTTTTACACTTGGTCGCTTAAGCGATCATGAACAAGACATAATCAATAAGTGCCCAGATGCACGATCGCTTAAGCGATTTATTCTATCACTTAAGCGATCCTTTGCTTTTAACCTTGGTCGCTTAAGCGATTACAAATCACTTAAGCGATCACAAATCGCTTAAGCAATCATGTCCAAGGCAGAATAAACTTCTGCCCAGATGCACAATTGCTTAAGCGATTAAGTGTATCGCTTAAGCGATTCTTTGCTTTTACTATTGGTAGCTTAAGCGATTGTAGATCACTTAAGCGATCATGAACAAGACAATAAATAAGTGCCCAGACGCATGATCGCTTAAGTGATCCTTTGCTTTTAACGTTGGTTGCTTTAAACGATTTATAATCGCTTAAGTGATCATGTCTGAAGCAGAATCAACTTCTGTCCAAAAGTAAGATCGCTTGAGCGATCTAAAATCGCTTATACCAGATCGCTTAAGCGATCCTTTGCTTTTACTCTTGGTTGCTTAAGCGATTTTAGATTGCTTAAGCGATCATGTCCGACGCTTGGAATTTGCGTCGGCATCCTCCTCTTCAGTTTCAATTTCAACTCTTGCCCTCCCTTGTTCTGCCAATAGAATGTCTACCGTCGATGTTGTCTCCTCTCCTCGTGGAGCAACTTCAGTCATCGGAAGTTACTCCACTACAACTTCTTCTTCTCCATTTTTGGTAAACCCAGTGGTGCCTACAATTTGGGGAGTAAATGAGTTTTTTTCTGTTNTAAAAATAATCCAAATACACTGGATCGCTTAAAAGATTTCATTTATCGCTTAAGCGATCCTGTGTATTTAGACTTAGTCGCTTAAGAGATCTGGTTGTATTTATGTTATCACTTAGGCGATTCTATGCTTTTACACTTGGTCGCTTAAGTAATCATAGATCGCTTAAGCGATCACGAACAAGACAGAATCAATAAGTGCCCAGATTCTATCGCTTAAGCGATCCTTTGCTTTTAATCTTGGTCGCTTAAGCGATTACAATGATCATGTCCAAGGCATAATAAACTTCTGCCTAGATGCACAATCGCTTAAGCGATTAAGTGTATTGCTTAAGCGATTCTTCGCTTTTACTATTGGTCGCTTAAGCGATCTATGATCATTTAAGCGATCATGAACAAGACAATAAATAAGTGCCCAAATGCAGGATCGCTTAAGTATCGCTTAAGCGATTCTTAGCTTTTACTGTTGGTCGCTTAAGCGATCTACGATCGCTTAGGCGATCATGAACAAGACAATAAATAAGTGCCCAGACGCATGATCGCTTAAGCGATCCTTTGCTTTTAACGTTGGTCGCTTTAAGCGATTTATAATCGCTTAAGCGATCATGTCCAGGCAGAATCAAATTCTGCCCAGATGCATGATCATTTAAGCGATCATTTGCTTTTACTCTTGGTCGTTTAAGCGATTTTAGATCGCTTAAGCGATCATGTCCGATGCTTGGAATTTGCGCTGGCATCCTTCTCTTCAGTTTCAATTTCAACTCTTGCCCTCCCTTGTTCCGCCAATAGAATGTCTTCCGTCGACGCCGTCTCCTCTCCTGGTGGAGCAACTTCAGTCATCGGAAGTTACTCCACCACAACTTCTTCTCTCCATTTTTGGTAGACCTAATGGTGCCTACAATTTGGGGAGTAGATGGGTTTTTTTCTGTTTCTTTAAGGATCTCAGCTATTATAACTTAATCAGGAATAGCAAGGAATGAAAAAAATGCAAAGAGCAAAGAAATTGAGAAATTGTAGAAAATTGGAAGAAAAAACGAGAGAGAGAAAGGTGTTTGAATCCTATTGTGAGAAAGAGAAGCTGAGAGAAATGTGTTTTGCCTTTCAAATTTTAAATCAACTTCTCTTTATTATACTCTAACCCACAAATGTTTAAATCTTTCCACCTTAATCCTTTTTACTGCTTTAATTACACTTATGTATGCCACGTCATATTTTTTAACCCAAAAAAAATATCAAAAAGATTTTCATGGCCATTTTGTTAAATGGAAAACTTGGGATGGCCGACAGCTAAGTTTTCTCTTTCAAATTTGTAGTAAATTGGGTCGGGCAAAGTTCGGGTGGGAGGATGTCGTTCGGCCGCTAATAATTGAAAGATATTTATTGCTGGCAGTGATAACCCAGTACACAAGTGAGCTATGAAGCTGAAGAGTGAAAAAATGGCGTGAAGTAGCTTCAAATCTCCTAAACCCAGTTCATCTGTCACTCAGGTACACTTGATCCACCACTAAATTTGATTACTTTCTTTGGTTTTGATGTATTTGAGTTGAATGCTTAGTGGGTATTTATTTTTCTCTTTTTTATTAATAATTATTTGTTGTATTATGATTTTAATACTTAAAGAAGTTGTAGATAAAGAGTTTGGAGTTTCATATTTCGATGTTTATTATCCATTATTTTGTAAATGACTTTTGGAAATTTGTCTTAGTTGAATGTGTGAAATCTAAAGCTGGGTTTTTTTAACTGTTGTAAATGAGAAGAAAATAAATTTTCTCGAAAATAGCTCTGTTTGGTCTGTCTCTGTTAAACATAAATTACTTCAGAAACAACAGACAAAGAATCGATCACCCAAAAAGTTATTAAATTTAAAAAATTCTAAAAAAATTAGCCAGATTCTACCTCAGCTTCGACCTATCTTGGTACGATTTCTCACTTAATCTTTTTTTTTTCATTTTTCAATTAGCTTTTTGGGTTTTTTATTCCCATCGAAATGTCAAATGGGGTTCAATTGATTTTGGAAATCGCTGCTTAAATTTGTCAATTTTGTTTACTCTTGTTTGTGGTACTTTTCTCTTAATTTACTAAGAAATTTTGATGTCTTGTGGTTTATGTGTGTTTTTCAAATGCTCTGAGCTGTGCTTGAGCAGAACTTGTTCTGGGATTTTTTTAGGTCTTTCTACGTATTGGTCTTTTGTATTGATGGAGTTGTGTTTGTTCTGCAGATTGTATTATCAATTCGGGATTAGGAGTTCAAGTTTTGGGTTGAAAAGAGTGTGTCGTATCTTCTGGCTTTTTGCTTGAAAGTTCAAGATTTTATGTGGATTTGGTTTAGTTAAATTTGAGGAAATTATTTTGTACAAAATAATGGGAAGTCTAAACTTTTCTCGAATTGACACTTTAGACATAAAAGCTCTGATTTTGAAGAAGATAGGGCAGCAAAAAGGCGAGAGCTACTTTGATCAGCTTAGCAGATTTTTTAGTTTTAAGATTAGCAAGTCTGAGTTTGACAAATTTTGCATTACGATTATTGGTAGGCAAAATATCCCTCTTCATAATAAGTTCATTAAATCGATTGTCAGGAATGTGTGTGTAGCAAAAGTTTGGCCACCCACATGTATCAAGAAAGTAGGAAGCAGCCTTAATGTTAAAACTGTAAGTGGAAGCCAGAGAAGTAGTCTTCAGTCTCTTTATCGGGATGCATTTCCCCCATCTCCTCGGAAGGGTAGGTCTATGGTTAATCGTGATCGAAAATTTAGGGACCATCCTAGTCCATTGGGGCCTCTTGGAAAGCCTCAAAGTATTGTTGTTGGTGAGGAATCAGTTTCCAAGGCACAAGAGCAGCAAAGTGCAACTGAATTGCTTTCGCTGGGTAGTAGGCCTCCTGTTGAAGTTATTTCTGTTGAAGATGGAGAAGAGGTTGAGCAGGCAGCTGGGAGCCCAAGTGTTCAAAGTAGAAGTCCGGTTACTGCTCCTCTTGGAATTTGTATGAATTTTGGTGGAGCTCGTAAATCTATTTCTAATATATCTATATGTAATGACTACCATCCAATGACATGTCTGAACAGTGCTGAGCTACCTGATACGAGATCATTAAGAAGTCGTTTGGAACAAAAGCTGGTGATGGAGGGAATTAGTGTCTCGGTGGACTGTGTTAACCTGTTAAATAATGGGTTGGATGTGTATCTGAAGAGGTTGATTGGGCCCTGCATCGGTTTGGCTAGGCCAGGGTATCAAAAGGAACACCTGGAACCACAAATTGGTTGGCTCATACCCAGTTTCAATGGTATGAGGTACATGCAAAGGCCTACTAGATCCAAGTTTGCATCTATGTTGGACTTCCGAACTGCAATGGAGTTGGATCCCAAAGTACTGGGAGAAGATTGGGCAATCCAACGTGAGAGGATTTGCTTCCATGCTTCCGAAGAATGAAGGAAACGTCTTCTAAATACAGTTTAGAAATTGATAAGATTATTTCGATAGGAATTGATGATTCAGTTTTTGAATCAATTATTTTACCTTTACGTGAATGTTGTTCTCTATCAACTATGGAGTTTTAACAAGCATTGACCCAGAAATAAGTTGCAAAAGCTGTCAGAAGTTTGGATCAGGTTGACGAAATATCATTTGAATGTCAGCATTGATGTCTGTTGAGAAGGGGAACATGTCTATACGATATATGTTTTTTAGATAGTAATAGAAAACTCTGTTTAGGTTTTCAATCCATTCTTCAATAACAATCGAATTCTGCTTTTCCCCTCTCATGTACCAATATTAGAATGAAAGAAAGCATTTTTCAGTTGTTCTTACTAAATTTAGAACTAGATCTGGATTATGGATTCACTTTCCCTTATGAAGGTAAGTTGTTACAACTATTTTACTTTTGCTTTTTTATCAGAGCTGCCTAACTCAGTTAAAGATGTTGTAACGAATTATAAATGAAAGGAAACAGTCTTTCCCTTGTTCTTATGGTTACAAATCCACGTTAAGACAGTTTTGTAGTGAATAATTAGATTTTAAAAGCTACGTTTAGGTCATATGTCAATGTCAGTTAAGTTCAAATCTTTGAATAACTATTCTTTCAGCTGGCAACTTGATTTACCGTATTAATTTTGCATCTATGTTGGATGAGTAGAGATGGTTGAAACTCTATAATGATGCCTTTATCTCATATTTTTCTCGTCAAGGAAATTAATAAAATTTTCCTTCGCGTTCAAACTGTGACACTCCTCACTATTGTCTGTTGATCTTATTACCATTCTAACAGTCGAGATCAGTTTGTGAATGAAAGCACTTCTTGTTTGGTTTGTGGTTGCAGTCTTCACATTATTATCCAATGTTTTGCCAGAGAAGTCACTGGAACTAAGTTTAATTTAAAGTTCTTCAGAAGGCATTTCTTAGATTGAGGTCTCTCTCCAGTGATCCTTAGTACTAGAATGCAATTCCGATTGAAGCTCCAATATGCTTGCATTCTTTCACAGGTGAGTTTTTACTTTACTTTTCACTTGCAGGATAAATAAAAACAGATTACCTCATTCACTTTACTTTTTTTTATCAATCATTTAATGCACAGGAGTGGGAAGGTTTGGACTTGTTTCAGGGACTTCAAAGAATTGATCATGATGATTAAGCCATCAGGTTTTCCATGTAAAACTTGAGTCAAAAACTGGGAATTCATTCACGTTGCTGAAACTTAAAACAAATACATCAATGAATTAGGAAAGTCATGACCTTGATCCTCCATTTAAGACTAGCAGCAAAGTTGCAGTGGTATGTCAAACACATGCCTGAGATGAGGTAAAAGTCCACCGGTGAAGGCTGGGTTAGTATATTACAGATTTCGGTCGGAATTTTATTAGATACACATTTCTTGTTAGATTAACGAACATTTCAAGTTAGTTCAAGATTGATCTTCATCTCAACTCCCAACTGTTTCCAAATTCCACCATACTCAGAAACTCAGAATATGAATATTGAATTTTTGAACTCTTTTCTCCTGTTGTAGTCTACTATCAGCTAAGTTTAACCCTAATCAATAACTGCCAGAGGAAAATTATGATAAAAAAGATAACTGGGAACAATTTTAACATGAAAATGATGTCTATTATAGAACCCTGGAATGTCTTTGGTGAAGAAAAGTAGAACAATACTTGAGTAACTTTCAGATTAAATTTCTAAAACACTATTACCCAACTACTTTACAACCTTTTGATATTTGTCCATTTGCATTATTTCAAAGTAAATGTTGTTCTTAAAAAAATTAATTAATAAATTGGAAAAAATGGTTGCAGCATGATCTATATCAGAAATGGATTGAGCTCATAAATTTCTGCTTTAACCTAGCTTCTGATGCAGATATTACAATTGCCAAATGCCAACCCGTGATGACGGTGAAAAAGATTATGCATATAAGACTGCATGCAACCACCAGCTATTCCAAGTAAATCTTGATCTTGAGGCTATTTCAATCAGCTAGGAGCTGAGCCAGCTTTGTCGAGGCTTGCCATGTATGTAATATAGATAGTCCATAGATATGAAAATGAATTGCTCACCAAGGGCTGTCAAAATACAACACCACCAACAAACTCACAAGTGAGAAAATCGGTTTCATACCATGAAGGACAGCAAAGAGCTTGATGATGGGCAGAGTAGTCCCAGCTAAGCCCTTGGCCCAAGGGAATAACAAAATGCTATAAAATCAAAAACCTCATCACATACCTGTAAATGAACAGGGATGAATCTGAATGTGATAAAATCACATAAGGGCCAGTACATGACGCCATTTATCATGGTAGGAAGCAAGTCTCGTTTTAATCGAGCAACAATCTCTTCCCCATTCTCACCTGAACAATCATTAGTCATAACAACTACTTAGAAATGCAGCGTATATGTATTCTATAGAACATACCTTGGTGGCTTGGTTCTCTTCACAAAAAATGTTATAAGTATATTTTCTTAATTGAAGAGTATTTAGGCATATCATTGAAACACACAAGTTAAAAGAAGATACAGAAACTTGTATGAAACAGATATTTGCCTTCAAACAGCATATCCACTATCAACTACAAAATGTTTAACCCAATATTCTGAATCAAAAACTCAATGTGACCAGTGGCTGGCTGGTTTACAATTTTCACTTTCTCGAACAAACCTGAACAGAGCTTTTGTTTTGTTAGACACAGTGTTTGCATTTATACTACTAATTAAGACTCAATTAACTTGGTTCAAATTCAATGCTTACTTGAAGTATTTGAAAAGATAGATTATAATATTTTTATTCAACTAGACCGAATTTCCAGCATCAAAACATGATGAACTATAGACTGGAAGTTTGACGCATTTATATTGACATAGTAAAGTATACTGGTTCAGTTCATGATTTTACATAATAGTGTCAGACAAACAAATGCCAGTAATGATCATTTTAGTAACTAGTCTGGTTTAATGGTAGTGTAGATTGGCAGTTATTCTACTCATAGTTTATGGTTTCTTTGTCATCCACATACATGCATACACACATTGAAAAACCAATGGGGCACTTCGTAGTTTGTACAGCTTATGATGTAAAAACTGCACAGCTGGTGTGACACAGTTGAACAACATGGTTGGTTTTAAGCATTGTACCATGTGATGGTAGTGATTTGTGACATCACCAACAATTTTTTAACTAATAGATTAACACATTTTGAATAATTAGATCTAATATGAGATATTCCCTAAATCAAGTTTGGCATGTTGAATGTAATCTTAATCCTGAAGGATTAATTGATCCCAGCCCCATACCATATGACTTACTTACAATATGCTTCAAATTCAAAAACTGCATGCTCAATAATAAGGTAGGAACATAAGAATCATGAAATGCTAAGAATAAATTTGCACATAAAGATTCCGAAAAAGCAATAATACTTATTGAAAGGCAAATTTATTAGAAATAAATTGCACGATATGCATCAGCTCAAGTATATATCAGAAGCAGCAAGCATCCATGCAAAGCAATAGTCATCTTGTGAAATTTTAACAAATTAAAAATCCTGTGTACCTTGCAGACCTGCATTCACGGATAAGAAAACGACTGTCATAAAAGGTCCATAAAGTAACTGTCCCATGGCAATTTTCTTCAGTGTGGTTATTAGATCTCGCTTAGGAAAGACTTTCGACACGAAGTTGAACCAAAAATGTAATGAGGGTCCTAAAACTATCATCCCATATCCAGCCATACGTAATGTCCTCACCAAATCGAAAGGGTTTGAAGATGAAAGAGTCTGAAGAAGATTTGACAGTAAGTACCATTCACAATTTAGAAGTAAAATGACTCCAAATTAATGTGAAGAAATATTTTACAAAAGGAATTTTTTGTAAGTATGCACACAAGAACAATATAGTATAAAAGGGCTATCCATAATCATATACATATATCTATTAGGATAATTCTATTTATAATGTCAAATAACACTGTTTGTAGATCTTTACAATAATTGTAAGCAGAAAGCACCATAAGTAGAAAAACTAGTTGTGTTGAAAAGAAGAGGAAAGAATACAAGCAATAACATGTAAATTCAAATACAAAGATTTACAGATTAGCAATGGTAATGAAAAGAAATCACCACAATAAGAACAGCCAAACAATTTAATAGTCTAGATGCAGAAAGGGAAGCCACAAAGCACATGGATAAACAAAAATCAGCATCCAAATACAATCCAGAAAATTGCTGCCAATCCCTTTTCAATAGCCTATCATCTCACTTTCTACCATGGAGAGGGGAACAAATTACAAACATAATTCATAAAGAAGAGTCAGGTCTCTCAATCTGTTTTATTCAATAAATTCAATCACCTCATGAGGGACAAGGGGTAACTGAAAATCTTAACAGTAACAACCATAATTTGTAGCAGCCATTCATTAATGTTTTTTTTTTTTTTTTTTCTTCTTGAGATTTAAAAATTCTGCAGACATTGATTGAATCTGACACTCTAACCACTAGTTCTCTCACATCCTATAGTTGCATAACTATAGCCTTTCAACTTTCCAAATGTGTCATCAAATGGCCTCCACAGAATTCAAGTCCTTGCACAGGTTTTAATGATGCACCTACTCTATTATTTCAAAGTTACGCATCCCTCATTGTTTGCTATAATATATGCACCAAAGGTTCAAAGTTAAAATAGTGTAGAGATGACATGACAGACTCTCTAACATTCTAAAAGCATCTCTATCCCGAGATGCTACATCACTACAGTAAACCATAATACAATTAACCACAGTAAACTAATTAGTTCAAGGCTAATTAAAGTGCCAGCATGTTTAAAACTCACACTGAACTTAGGGCATGGACAGAGCCAGCATAGGTCCAGGAGGGTTGACCGTCCTGAACTTTTGAAACTTTTCTTTAAGCTAGTGTTGGATGGCTGATTCCTTAGTGCCTTTTAACCGACTCCATCAATGTTTCCTTGAAGGACTACATTTTACTTCTTCTACAGGCCAATTAGAGTCGCAATAATCAAGATATATCGCACCCCGAATATTTCTATGGTTTTTCTATTTATCCCTTCTATATTTTGAGCAACATCTTGGGGGGAAAAAATAGTTGATCAGATTAAATGAAAACTTAAGATATATTACGTGATAAGTTTTTATTATTAGTATTTTTGTTGATTAAGTTTTATAATTTGCTAGATCTTGCCCCTCATGGATCATACTCCCAGCTCCGCCAGTTGGAAGGCTGCTTGCACCATTATTCTCACCCTTGAAATACATTTATCTCCCACAGGTTTAAGCTCGTGTTTATGAGTTAAAGCTAACAAAGGGAATTACAATCACCCTTAATATTTCCAATTGCTAGTTCAAGCTCACACATGGTATACAAACCAATGATCAAACAAGATGAATAGGTCAATCATGTTCAAACTTTGCTTGCATTTTATCCCTAGTTTGAAACTAGGGCATTATAGAAATTTCATAAACAATCTCCATTATAGCATATCAGTATCTACCCATCAATTTGAATTTGCACATTCTAACGTCAAATTTTGTTAGCCATAAAAGACCAACTCAATCCTCCACAAGAAATCAAACAATACCAAAAACATACCCAACAAAAATAAACTAACCCCTACCTATTGAGTTGAATTGAATTGAGCCAGCATTTTATTTCATATTAATATGAACACTAAACTAACCCCTACCTATTGAAAAGTTCAAAGATGGTAGGGTTTGACGAGTTAAAGAGCAAAACAAAATAAACTTTGAGTTTTCCAAGGTCAAAGCAAAAATGCTAAAAACAGTCCAATTTCTATCCTTTTATCTTAATTTTCTCATCAACCAAACAGAACCGAAACACAAATTAAATTTTCATACCACAATCAAATCACAGAAGCGAAGAAAAACCCACAACTGGGTAATCATTTTAAAACTCGTTCACACAATAAACGTTTTAATTACCTGAGACGACAAATCAGCCGCGGTATAAATAAGCGCGCAGGTGATACTCTTAGTAAGCACAGGCCGTGACTTCACCATCCCCAAGTACCACCTCACGAACCCCGCCTTGGAGGACAACGACGCCGTTCCAGAACTAAACGGAGAAAAGGCGGAAGAAAACACAGAAGGAGAGACCTCATTGTATTCCCTCACGGATTTCCTCCAAAAATGAGGGAACTTGTTGTAATCTCTGAACTGCGCTTGGTTTTTAAGCGTGTATTGGTGGATTCTGGCAACTGGGTCTGTAAAAAAGTCGGTGAATTTCTTGTTGTCCGACTGTAAAAGCTGGGAAATAGTAGAGTTTCTCTTGAGAGCTGCTCCCATTTTGGATTGAACGGAGGGTTTGGAGGGTTTTTTTTAGTTTTATGAAGAAAATGAAAGAGACGGGTGGTGGTTGTTACAAATTCAGACGTGGTTTGTGACTTGCGTTTATATTCCGTTGATTGGTGGGCTTTGAGAGCAGTTTTCGCGAGTGTGAATTCGCATACTCGCTTTTTGACCCGCTAAACCCATGCCTTTGTTTTTCTTTGCTTGGCCTTGGTTCTCCGTTTAGTAGGCCGATGTTTTTTTTTTTTTTTTTTTATAATATATAAAATAAAATTTTGATTTAATGATTGTTGTATTATTTATAAGAAATTAAAATTTTATTTTCTGTCTTCTAATTGTGTGTTCATATTAATATATAATGTTTCCAAAATGTTATTAAGTCAACTTAACTAGTTAACTAGGGTTAAAAATATTTTAAATAATGCAAAAAAAATTATTTTCATGCGGAGATTTTAAATTTTATAACATACAAGAAGTTTTAATAATTCGTAATATTTTAGAAAAAAAATTATTAAAATTAAATGATCATTTAAAAAAATCTATCATAATAACTATAGAAATAAATGTAATTTAGGTAATTTTACTAATTTATGACTAAGAATTCATATGAAAAATATTTGTTTAAATTTATAGGATACAGAACTTATATGTCTTTTGGAAAAGACGTGACTGCCTGGTACAGCGAGTGTAAATTAATCCTTGAGGCAGCGAGTAGGCTTCGCCAAATGTTTGAAAACTTAAAAGTGCCAGCCAAACTCCAGGACTTCTGGTTCGCCATATCCCTCTGTACACGGGTCTTCATCTGCCATCCATTACGCGCCACGTATCACAAACTTTACACGTCGCATTTAGACTTCTCATTCAGACTTGATTTTGCTGCGATGCCCCTTTTTATTTGAAGTCCTTCAACCTTTTGCTTTTTCACCATTGCCCCTTTTCTTGAGAAATTTTTCTTTATTTTTTTAAAATTGTGAAATATATTAGACTTGGGAAATCTCTATAAATGAATTATTATTTTTTTACAAATCCAAAATAAAACCCTTCCACATCTAGTATGAGTTGAAGTCAATCACATGATCTCATATCATCTTATTAACTAACTTAGGAGACCTGTCACTATTAATATTAAATTTGTTTACGTTTGGCTTAATCCGTTTGATTCAACAAACAATAAAACAAATATACGTAATACACTTTTTTTTATGACCGAGGTGTTCAGGTCAGTTTATGCTCACTTCAACTAATCTCTCAAGATTTTAGTACTATCGACCTAGCAAAAGCTCTAATGACTACCTCTATTAGCAACCGAGATAGGTCTTGTGTGAGCAAAAAATCGTAACAAGCCTTGTTAGGCTCAAACACGAAATAAGCAGTACATGACCCAGTGTCACGACCCAACCCCGATTGGGCCCATAGTCGAATCCACTCTACAATTCAGCCCATTCCACAAATCGAGTTACTTAACAAAATGGGCGATTCGACAACTAAGCCCACTTGGGCTTAAGCCCATCGGCCCACGGCCGCTCCAAAGAACCCAGAGTTTCATTCATATCCTAATTCGTGTATACCCTATTTCATCTACATCATAATTCATCTAAGATTTCAAATCTTACATGAATTAAGACTCCAATTCCTACAAAGGCAAGTAAATAAAAAATTTCCTATTTACTCAAACTCCGCCATTATGAACTCAAAGTTCTACTAGGATTGAAACTCCTAGGCTCATTATATAAACAAAGGCTTGACCTCTCATTATGGATTCAATCTCAATACCACTTACTTGTTCCTAACATTCTTGCTCCCAAGAATCACTGTCACCTTTGTCATACTTCTAGTCTCCGACGAAACTCCTATAATCTTTCCTCCCTTTAGCCTTCACTAAATTACCTTTTTCAATCTCGCTGACTTAAGCGTCAAAGTGCCTACGACAAACACCACACCAATATTCCCAGTGAGCTTCGCACTTACTTCTTTGTGTGTACAAATCCAACAGATCGTTAATAGCCTCAACCTCATAGGATTCGTCTGTTCTTTAACTATAGATTTTTACCGTCTATAGTTTGGCGCCAACCATGGGGCCTTTGACAATCATTCGTCTGTCAAATGACCTGCTTCACGAAAACTCCCATCATGACTAGAACCATTGAGACTCCCTCGCTCGACGTCAAGGCGTAACTTGCTCAACTCACTACTCTGATGCAACAGAATGCTAACAAAGTTCAAGCGTTGGAAGTCGAGAACACCACCATCCAGGCCGAGAACCACACTCTCCAAGAGATAGTCAACTAGTTCTATGACCCCAAATTCACACCCGGCCAACCCCGTAAAAGGTTTCATGTCTTGATCAACCCGATGCAAAACCTTTTGACACCAGATCCTCAACCATCCCACCTCCAATCAACCATAAACAACAACTCAACTCCAGCCATAACTAACCCCTCTAATATAGCCATGGAAACTCAACCCTTGGCAACCGACTTTCCTCATACCACAGACTTACTCGTCTAGTTGACACCATTCCAACAATTCTAGACCTCAACAACCTTCAGCCTCTTAATCCATCAGCATATAGCCAGTCGTTACATCCACTCGGCTCGGCTCAACACAATGCGTCTAGTGGCACCCCAAGCTTGCAAATGACCCTTAACATCGACTTGTTGTCCACTGGCACCGCCTTGAGCGAGCATTGGCTAAGTAAGTAGAGGGCATAGAAGCCACGATGCAACACATCCCTAGAGTACCCACTCTAATGAAGAAGAGCCTACCTAAGGCTAAGCCAACTCACCTCTCACACTTGTCTCACGTATTGAAACACTTTCCTTCACTCAACTCGACTCGGTTTGACCCTCCGCCACTTAGCTCGGATCATGCTTCAGAAGTCCACCGAAGGTTCTCCTTCCTCAAAGGGTACAAAGTAGGTTGGTGAATCTTCACAGTCCAACCCACAGCCCAACTTCTTTGACTCGACTTAGCTAGGCTCCACTCTTCCAATCGGCTTGGCTTTCATTCATCTAATCAGCTCTGCCTCTACTCATCTAGTCGGTTCCGTCTCCACTCTTCTATTTAACTCAACTCCACTCATCTAGTCAGCTTAGCTTCGCTTATATAGTCAGCTTAGCCACAATTCATCCAGTCAACTCGGATTCCAATCATCCAATTGGCTCTATCTTTGCTCATATAGTCTAGTTTGTCTACACCCTTCTAGTCAGCTTAGCCCCGCTCATCTAGTCTACTCGGCCACCACTCATCCAGTCGACTTGACCTCCATTCATCCAGTCAACTTAGTCTCCATTCTTCCAGTCGACTCGACCTCCTCTACAACCCCTCTGATACTTGCCCCGACGTTCTCACTCAAGTTTATCACAATGACTTCGATTCCCTCTCTAATACTCCCCTAATGGGAATCTACCTCCTCATTCCACTTGGCAAATAGAGTTCCATCATCGAAATCCAAGCGACATCTCGACATACTCGACTCGACTGGAATTAGCCTCAATCTAATCGACGTGATAGCAAGCATATTCGACCTCTAACCTGTAAAGTTTCCTTCCCACACGACCTAATGGCAAGCTAACATGCAGAACAAATAACCTCCTCCTCTAATGGACTCCCACTTTACTCAATGTAGTGTTGACCCAAAAAACCGACTTCCACTTGACAATAACTCAATTAGTTTAAGTTCTCTGCTCTACGCCAACAAGTTGACTCAATGAAGGTCAGCTCAGTCTAAACCTAGCACCCCAAGGGTACTACACTTAGATTGGGGGGATAAAATATGATAGCACAATAGCTCAGGTCGNCAAGTCCGATCGGCTAGAATGAGGAGAAGTCATGTAGAGCGGGAGCGAGTCCCGGCCGTACCTCCGGTAAGATGAGGCCGTGACTACTAAAAAGAGTTAATAGAAAAGAGTTATGAGAAGGAGAAAATACATGAAGTATAAGAGAGAGAGTAAACGAGAATTGTAAGGAAACAATTAGAGAGAGGGAGTTATGGGGATAAATGAGTAGATGATTTACTTACTGAGCATTAGTTGTGCTCACCCAATTGTTTTCTATGTTTTTGCAGGATCTAGGTGAGGATACAGTCAGATACAATCGGATGGACATCGGCGGGCGAAGGGAAATAACTACACTGTCCACCTTGTTTTGATACTTTTGTACATGATACAACTTTTTGTATAAAGAATGTATATATTTAATAAAAGAAAAATTTGAGCCCAACCTTTTTATGCTATCTTATATATATTTTATTATGTACATGTTTTATGAATATTTGAGTAGAATGCAACTATTACACTAATCGACGTGATAGCAAGCATATTCGACCTCTGACCAGTGAAGTTTCCTTCCCACACGACCTAATGGCAAGCCAACATGCAGAACAAATAACCTCCTCCTCTAATGGACTCCCACTCTACTCAATGTAGGGTCAACCCAAAAAACCAACTTCCACTTGACAATAACTCAATTCGTTTAAGTTCTCTGCTCTACACCAACAAGTTGACTCAATGAAGGTCAGCTCAGTCTAAACCTAGCACCCCAAGGGTACTACACTTAGATTAGGGGGCTAAAATATGATAGCACAATAGCTCAGGTCGGTTAGACACCAACACTAGGTGACAAGCTGGCGTCGTTACATACTCATTATATAAACAATTGAAGTGAATTTGGTGTCATAGTTACTGATTGGTCGGTTCTTAGGGCATGGGATGCTTGTACGGGGTGTCGTATTTTGTAATTAGTTGCTATGTTTAACAATTGACTAGGAGTCTTGGTGACCCTTGATTCTTTTGTGTCTAACTAGGGAGCGTCCTATGGTATGTTGGCCGATTTTTATATGGCCTTCGTAATTTTTTTTCCTTTTTCTAATGAATTTTTACTCACCCTGAAAAAGAAAAGGACGGTTCTGGGCCTGACTCATTTAAAGGATGAAGAACAGGCAATTTAACTGGTAGCGTATTTTGTAAAGACATAACAGAGCAAAATTCATAGACATTTGGTGCGCCAACAACTGCACTTTCATATGCCGTTGAGACTTGAGACACAAATTGCACCAGAGACGCGACGGTAAAACTGAGGTTTTCACTCTTCAAATTTTTGCTTTAATCTTATTTTACTTGCTTTAGTTACTTCACACATAGAAAGTGCGACATTGCCAAATACATGATACAACTAGGCATTTGATTCTGCTACTTCAGTATATATAAAGACTCAGCTATTAGAGTCTTCAACAGAAGTTCCATTAAATCCAACTTTTCTTCAGCATCCGAAGTCGTAAGGCACCAGTCCTTGCAGCTCAGGTCCATTGAGCCTATTGTTCTCGAAACTGAAGAAAACCACAAAACAAATAATTAGAATACCCATTACAACAACACACGTAATGATAAATATAAATGCATCAACAGTAATTTAGCTACTTGAGAATCATAGCAAAACACCAGTTGATGCACCTTTACATGATAAATAAATACGCATAAAGTATACATTCCCCGTTGGCAGTAAAAAAAGGCCGATTAATTTTCGTGGGAAACAATCAGGACTTACATACATTTTACACATTATAAGATTCTCACTGATTAATCGGAAATCGAATAAACCTAACATTCACATAAATCCCTTCAAAACCTCAATCATATAAAAAGGCATTTTGAGTTTCTCTCAGGCAATCATTTATTTGCGGGGCCACGGTAGGGATGCAAATAACATGTAAATTAGTAGTAATCACTATTTGTCTCCACTACTTTAGGAAAAGTTTATGCCGTAGTACATATAATTGTATGGCTAATAGTGATTGCAATAGTAGTCTAGTACCTTTCCATTGGAAAGCTTCCAAAAGGGCCATCAACAGGGATTGTTCCACATAGATTGTTGTTGGAAACATCACTGCAACATTGAAAAAGAATCAAATAAAAAAATCATCCAAGCCGCGAAGAAAGTCATGATTCGACATTTTTTTTTCCACTAAACTTACAAGACTTTAAGGTCTGACAGAGTGGTGAGTTCCCTTGGAATAGATCCTATTAGCTTGTTGTTGTTTAGCCGCCTGTAACATTGATTCAACCATATCAAAATAAGAATTTCAAACTAGCTGTAAATTCTGAAGGTTCAAAGTTTTAGGTCAATCAATTGTCAACACCGAGATGCTTACAGAAATCTAAGTGACTTCAATTTGGCAAGAGACTTTGGTATTTCTCCTTCAAATCTGTTGCCATACAAGTCCATGCTAACAAGGTTCTTCAGATTACCCAACTCCTTCGGAATTTTTCCCCCAATGTCATTCCTGTAAAGCTCCCTGTACCCAATAAAGAGTTCCCCACACAATCACTACAAAAAATATGAAAAGAAACAAGAAACTGAAAGGCAACTGATAAAGTCCGGTTTTCTTGTTGTTCTACTTAGTTTTCCAGCAAATAACACAACGTTATTCATGAAAAGGTTCGATATTCTGAATAAAATAAATGAAATGGAAAGAGACATACAAATATTGCAGATGCTGGAACTGGCCAAGCTCAGGCCCCAAAGTCCCAGAAATGTTAGAGTTTCCCAAGTCCCTGAAATTAAAAAGAAAAACAAAATAGTTAATCAACAAGAATAACTGAATGAAAGAAACCCCCAAAAAAAAAATATATATATATCTATCTAACGAAAAACTGATAAAGAAACAAACAACCCCCGCACCCCAAACCAAAAAAAAAAAAAAAAAAAAAACGAAGAAAGAATCTGATTCTTACAAGCGAATCACATGATTGTTGGCATCGCAGGTAACATGAAACCAGGTGCAGGGATTAACCAGTGTTGGGTCCCAGCTCTGCAACACATTTGTAGGGTCCTTAAACCTGCTTCTCAAAGCATGCAAAGCATTTCCTGAAAACAAACAAAATAACCCACAATTAAAAAAAAACAAACAAACAAACAAACAAAGAATTTCAAACCCAGCCCTTCACATCTCCAGCTCAACCAAGGAAAATTTAGAAAAATAACAAATTTACTTAACCAAAATGAACTTAAGAGTAAAGTTAAAAAGAAAATAATTCGAATTTTCTTTTCAATTTGGAAGTTGGACATGGGTTTTGTTACCAAAAGAGAGATCAGCAAGCAGGAGAAAATATAAAAACCTAGAGCAAAAGGGCAGTGAGAATACCTTCGGAGTTTGTGGAGAGACCAGGGGAAACAAGGAGAAAGAAGGCAAAAAAGGAAGAGAAAATAAGAGAAACAGGAGCCATTAGAGAAAGAGAGAGAGAAAGGACAAGAAAGCAAAGGAGTAATAAGAATAAAAAAGAGAGGAGGAGAAAGAGAGAGGAAGATGGGTTAAAAAGAAAAGAAAGGGGTTAGGGGAAAGAGAGAAGTCAAGTCAATGAAGTAATGGTGTGGAAGAAAGTGAAGAGAAAGTTGAAGACTTAAAACTTAATATTAAAGTGAACTGGAAATGAAAGTCAGACAGTGATTGGCTGTGGAGAGTTGTCTGCCGCGTGATGCGGCTCCTGTGGGCCCCTACTTGTTTGAACGTAACCGGCAACCTGTATTTCCGGTCACCACCCACCTCTGTTGACTCAACTCTCTTCTTCAACTTCAAGTCTTCTGTCTTCAACTCTGTTTACTTGAAAACGCGGTTCGTGTATAACGGGGTACGTGAGATGGTGACTGTTACTGTTATAATAAGGATGTTAACTTGATTTAACACATCATTATTTTTTTATATTTTAATTTATATTATTTAAATTTATTTTTAATAACAAAATTAATACTGCCCTTTTAATTTAATTTTAAAAAATAGAAAAATAATTGTTTCACTTGATTTGGGTGAGAAGCTATCATAATCGTTCTACAAATAACAATCCATAAACAATTATATCAATTTTAAATATCAATAAAGTTATTCTTTTACATACAAATAAATAAGTAATTATAAATTAATAACCAGAAAAAAAACTTTAGGACAAGTAAAATCATTGCTTATAACTAAAACTTCAATCTATATAAAACTTCAACTCATAATTTTTTTTTTTTGTATAATGATCGGAGACGTCCAACTCAATTTATGCACACCTCAACTCATCTCCTAAGACACTAAATTTATCGATCGGATAAAAACTCTAACAACCTCTCAAATCGAAGTAAATAAAAGTCAGACACACCAATGACTCCTAATTGACCAGACCACCAATGGTTATTTCTACCCATTTGATTGGTTAAGTGGACAAAATGATAAAACCAGTACACATCCTCTACATATATCTGGCAATGGCAGCCGTAAATTTATATCATTGTAAATGAATTTTTTTTTTTTTTTATTTCTACTTCTTTGTTTATTTTTGCACCATGGCAGTTTGATTCATTTTATAATTGCATTACATTAGTTTATAGTAAAATATTATTCAAAAACGTAAAACTTTTTCCTTTGTTTAAAAACTTTCTGGTAAACTTCCCACATGGAAGGATATCTAAACCTTAATCCAAGCAAGAGACGGAGGAAGAATCAAATAGATCTGAAGAATCCACCAAACATTAACATCACAACTAAAAATAGAGTATCTTGAAGAATACTGATACATTTCGACACTAATTTGAATCTGAATGTCCTTGCTTTTGAGTTCCATTGTCACTTTTTAAGATATCGACAAGAGTAGCTTGAAGAATAATAAATACATTCTACCACTAATCTGAATATGAATGCCCTTGTGTTTGGGTTCCATTGTCACTTTTTAAGATGTGGAAAACATGTGTAAAGATCAAACTTTGGGTGCTTTGCTTCAGCATGTTCCCGGCACTTCACCTCTGTTGCGGTACACATAAATGTCTGCATGCATACCTTGCACTACATATTTCGTTGAAGGGACCAGTGAAGATACCGATAACGGAGAGGAAAAGGAAGAAGAAAATCAAGTCATAACTTCTGTGAATAAGCTTAATAAATGACCACCATCACTTTAAGCAAAAGGATGACAGGAAAGGAAACATCAACTACAGACCACAATAAAGAACTTAAGAAGTTGGAATTCAAAGCCTGAAATGAAGAACTGCGGTAACATTCACAGAATGTATGTGTTGCAAAATACTGAATAAGTTAATCCAAAATATCTCATTTCGCCATTTTCATCATGATAGGTAACTCAAGTTCTACCTGTTGCCAGTCTTCAATAGAGTTTCACAGCCTGTGCCACCCTCTGCTGAGGAATGGGGGCCGGTGGCAGTGGGTGCTACTCTTTAATCAGGATTATTGCAACAATATCATGCATGGCAAAGTACACTTGTCCTGACCTTTACATATATAATTCAATTATATTAAGAAACTCTGGTTAAAATGGCAAAAAAAAAAAAAAAAAAAAAAAAAATCTAGCAACTCAAGTATGAAACTTCATTTATAGGATCTAAAGAGAACGCAATGCGTCTATTACAAATCAAGTGCATGTCTTATGTCTATACTCTATATAAACGAATAGTTCCACAGATATAAAAGCATTGGAGCTAAAAGAAAGGAGCATTTGAAGTGAAGCACAAAATTGTATTTGATCAACAAAAGTTCCCACCTGGTAAGTTAAGGGCACCATCTACATGTGTCATTGCAAAAGCAAATTTATATTTTAGGTGCAAGAACAAAAGCAAAGGCATAAAAAGGACAACCCTGAATTTCCTGAAACATTAATTACAATCTTAACATAGAATGGAGAAGAAACATTTTTTTTTTTTTTTTTCTTTGGGTGACTGGGGTGTCTGAGCCAACTTGATTGCACTTCGACTAATCCCCGGTCCATACGAATTTACACTAACCTTGCTTTGACTACTTTTCGGTTGTCATTCTCTAAAGAATCACTATGAATTTAATACATTTTTTAACCATACAGTGCAATCAATGAATTCAACTTAGTTTTCAGGAATAATTTTGATTGTGAGTTTTTAACTTGTCAAATGCCTTGAAAAGCTAACATTTGAAACATGAAAATATACGCCTGCAATCTTTTCACTTATAATATATCACCTTAAATAGAAGAAAAACTCTCAGCCCTGTGAAAGCAGAGATCAATCTAGAGCCAATCACAGCCATAAAATCTTCCATTTCTAGTTCTACTTCCATCTAAATTAATAATCTACGAAACAAAAACACCCACATGAAAGTCCTTAATTAATATCTTAGACATCAAAAGCCAAACAACATGAAGCAAAAGCATGCAAAGAAGCTACCTGGGTGTTCATAGCTTTCTTGTTGGACTCAAGCTGACTTCCTAAACAAACCAAAACCAAGTTTAATTAAAAAAGGATTATCACAGCTATCTAACACAAATCAACCACTAATATTTCCATAAACAACTAAAACAAAACGACCCAGATAGATAAAAAGAAAGAGCCAAGAAGAAGATACCTCTAACAGCTTTCAGCTTTTCCATGTGTTTTTCACACGCCATCTTGGCTTTCTGCCCATTTCCTCCTCCCATGGCTGGTTAATCACAGTTGCAGAAGTGGAGTTTTCTAGTTTAAATTAATAAAAATAAAAAAAATAAAAATTTGCGGGGTGTTTAGATGTTTGATTATGATGATATCAATGAGCATGACGGAAGTAAGGAATGAATATAGTGACTGCGTGAGTTGGGTTGAGAAGGGTCTAGAAACAAAATATTATAAACGAATATGAATTGTTGGGATATTCTTCAGGAATTTACTTTATTCAATTAATACATTCTTATTAGATTAAAGAATAATAGAATCAGTATAAAATAAGCACTAGATTATCGGAACTTAAAGAGGTGGTATTTACAGAGTTTTTCCTCTGCTTCCACAACTCATGTACAATGTGGGTGCAAGTTAAATTTTTTTTATTTTTTATTTTTTTACGACAAAGTGTCCAAGTCAGCTTCGTGCATCTTAACTAATCTTTCGAGATCTTAAAACTATCAGTTAAGTAAGAGTTCTAGTGATCATCCCTATTAATAATCGCGGAGACTCAAAACTCAAAAGACCATATTTTTTTCCCTTGTATCACTCAGAAGATTCAAACTTGAGAGACCATATGAGATTCTCTTTTACTCTTTTACCATCAGGTTACCTACCAATGGGTTAAGTCAAAACAAATTGCTTCGGCCGGGAGAGGAAGAATGTTATGGTATTTAACAAATTTTAGCAATTCAATAAGATAGGCTAAACAAAAAGCAAAATGTATGGTCGGTCAAGGTGGAATATCCACCCAAGTTACAACAGATACAAATAACAAATTTATTGTTGGTTTGCTAAATTAAAAACATTCTTAATGAGGTTCCAAATATTGGTAAGCTTAAGAGGAAAATTTTAGTGAGTTATGGAGAATAATTTAACTGATGTAATTCTAAATCATTAATACTTAATGCTCAAAAGTTCGATCCTGTTATGTTTATCCAAACTGAGTTCAAGAATTACCTACTCTCACTTTCTGCAATAACAATCATTTAAAGAACCTTCAACATATGAAAGGATTTGATTTGATTAAAAAAAAGAAATGTGCAAGAGGAAGCTCCTCTATGTTGACGAATCACTCAACAGTATGATACAGAAACTAAAAAGAGGCATACAGAGGGCCGGCTGTATATATATATATGTTACAATTTCATTATAATATAAACACTACTCTTGGGGGGAAAAGCAAATCAAGAAAAGCTACACTTTTTTCATTGTCTGCCTCCTTTCCTCCTCTTCAGCTTTAATCCAAGCAGCCTGAACAAAAGAAAGAACAAACAAACCCATCAAAAAACCAATGAATTTTATAATATTGCAGGAAAAACAACACTGCAAGCAATTCATTCAAGCAAGAAATGAGGTAACTTACCTTATCTCTTTCAAGTTTAGAAAGATGTGGCCTAATGGAATTTCCTAAGCTCAAACCTCCCCATGTTTCTTGCAATTCTCTCTCCCTCGCTTCTCTACGAGATACCGAGTATCTAATCTGGACTTCTGGTTCCTGAGCAGCCTTGGCCATCTTTTCTCTCTCGAGTCTTGATTTATGTTTAACCAAAACTTGGTCAAGACTACCCTCTTCATTCATCTGCGAATGTGTGTTCCTCTTCACTTTTACTATTTCTTCGCTTGCATTTGACATCATTTTCTCCTTTTCCAATCTAGAAACATGCTTTACCAAGACTTTGTCCAAGCTATCACGGTCTGTAACACAGTTCCATATTTGTTTCTTTTCAGAACTACGGTAACCGTTAGTATTTCCGTCGGACAATGCCTGCATTTTCTCCCTTTCCAACTGATGCACTGGCTTCACCAAGATCTTGTCAAGACTGTCTACTGTTTTTTCAGTTCCAGCCTTCACACCCTTATGTTCGTTTTCAGAAAATCTAGCATCTTCCTTATTCAGGTCAATATTTTCTTTCCCCACTACTCTATTAGAAAAAGAAATTTCATTTTTCTCAGATTTTGGGACAGAAGTTAAAGACTTCTTCTCTGTTGAATCAATCACCCTGCTTCCAATTGGGTCATTATTTCTTTTGCTCCTAGCTTCTTGGACTTCTTTTTCCAGTCTGGAGACATGTTTCACAAGATACTTATCTAGACTGGGGACATCTTGAACATCTTCCTTCCTGCGAGTAACCACTTGGTCCGGCATTCCTCCTGCTTCCAAGTTTTTATGGACAATTTCGAACTTATTGTAGTTATTCTTTGCTTCTTCTATCTCTTTCGCAAACTTTGAAGAATGCTTGACAGGCACACTTCCCAGATCAGAAGTGGTCTCAGATTGAGTAGGTTCATTATCTGACTTGACTTGTCCATCTTCAACTTTACCAGGATTCTCCCCAGTAGTTTTCCTGGATTCATTCATTCTGGACTTCTTGGCTTCTTGCACCTCTCTTTCAAGTTTCGACATGTGCTTAACCAAAAATTTGTCTAGACTTGGGAGTTCCAACTCAATGTGTTTCCTGCTTGCTGGTCCATCCATGAAGTAATCAAGGTTAGCTTTTCTTGCTATTCCTACTCCCAAAGAAGACATTCGTCGAGGATTAAGAACTGAATTGGAGGAATTATCACTAGCAGAGTTTGGATAATGCATCTTACAATTCTCTACTTTAGCTAAGGCAGCATTTAAACCACAAGTAGCAACTATTGTGGCAAGAGATGAAAGTTCTTCTTCCTGCAAATGTCTGAGCCTCTCAAGCATCATGTCGACAAGTATGGTCATGCTGAACTTGTCAGAAGACTTGGATTTCCTCTGCCTTATTCCATTAACTGGCATCTTCAAGTCGAAATCTTGGGAACCAAAACCATTCTTTTGAGAGACTGTTTCAAGTTCTGACCCAGACTCTGATTCACATTCTGAAGAAAATTCTGATATTTCCTGATTACTGTCACCTGTGTCCGGGTTCTCACTGATTTTATGCAGCAAATCTCTGAATTCATCTTTACTAAAGGAAGAGCAATTTGCAAGCCTAATGAATGCCGTTTTGACTGCTGCAGCAACTTCTTTATCTACTTCAAATGCAGTTTCAAATGATGCTGTAATAGTATGGGTGGTAGACCCTCCTCCGTTTACAGCAGCAAATGTTTCTACTTGACAATGAGTTTGAGGACAATTTGGTGTATCATACATGATCACTCCCATGGCTGTTGCTGCTTCAAAAGCTTTGGCTGCAGCTTTCTCAGATTTCAACAGAAGGGATTCTGCTTCTTTGTTTTGGATCCTACAAAGAAGAAATAGAATCTACATATCAGGGTCCTGAACAGAAACTTAATTAAATAATCCTGTTCTCCATTCTCTCAAAAGTTTACCTTGCTGCTTTAAGTATTCGACACCAAGATGCTTCCACCAGTGCAGCTTTCCGAGCCTCCATTGCTTTGTGTGCAGCTTCTCTTGCTGCGATTTTCTCTCTAAGAACTCTTGAGTAATGTGGATTTGTGTCACCTAGCGTTTCATCAAGAGTTAAATTCATTCCATCTACTTCCTGAAATGAGAATCTGAGCATTAGAATTTTGCTTCTCCAAAGTAAATAAAGAGGTTCTCACGAATAGAAAAAGAACATAATATATGTCGCACCTGCAGCATTCTTATCTTCCTCTTTAAATAGGAGTCCACCTTTTTGCGAGGAAACCAATTGATAGGAGAATTTTTTCGGTGAGGAGGCTTTTTAATTTGTGATGTAAACTTGTTTAGTGCATTCAATGTTGATTGGGATGTCCCTTTTGGGGATCTACTCTGCATTACTCAAAAGAAATTTATAAGCATAAACATAAAAGGTTGAATAACAAATTATACAACATTGAGCAAATGGAAATTTTCTGGATGTTGCATTCTGTGATACCACAAAAACCACATACAACAGATGAATAAAATCATAAAGTTTCACCACATTGATAGAATTTCTCTTAGCTGTACAAGTTTAATGTATGGTCATGACAAGAGAACATAATTCTTACAAGATCTGATACTAAGTCAGAATCTAGTTCCCTTTATATATAAATTTCACCACATTAATATAGGGTTTTACCTCACCATAGTCAGTCCATATCATCACTAGATAAAGAAAAACAAGTACAAGCTTGACTCAGCATTATAGCATTTAATGCTGATATAACAGACAAGAGACTATAATAGAATTTAAATTACTCAACATGAATCGGAATTCTTGACGTGAGGCAGTGAATTGGGGGCCAAACAGAACAGCAAGGAACATTCAGATCACATGTTAATTAGGGATTGACAACTTAACAAATTCCTTTTCATCAACAGAGAATTTCCAAGATCCATTGCAGGAAAGGGCAATTCGCAATATTGAGGTGTCTGTTCATATCAAGTATAACACAGACACAATCATAAACACTCATAATTCACACTTAAACAACACAAACCTTTATCTTCTATGATTTCAATCCACACAAAAAACAAATAATATGAACGAAACCCTAATCCAAGAACACAAGTACATAAACTATACCCTAAAACTCAAAGCATCCACTTAAAAGAGCAACAAAAGGAAAGAAATTTATGGTAATGGAAGAATAGACAAATATAGCGACAAGAACACCGATCTTGAAAGCGAAAAACACAAGAGATTTACCTTTCCAGATTTAGAATTGGCTGATATGGGCTCATTTGAAACGCTTTCTTTGTTTGTAGAATCAACAGCTGTGTCATTGCTTAACTTGTCTGAGACTGAGATGCAACCGAAGTCCAAGCACCCAAGATCCATAGTCAGATTTCAAAGATATCGTAAAGAGAAAGAGAATTTGCTGTGGAGTAGAGAGAAGTTTTAATTGGAATGAAATGGGATTCAGAAAGAATGTGATTTTGCGAAGAGTGTTGTTTTTGAGTATTATTATTTGATGATTTTGTGTTGAGAGTAGTTTTTGTATCTTTAAAATGTTCAGTAGCCGTTACAGGACGAGGTTGATTGATGTCAACGGTCGTTTTGGATACTGGGGACTTATCTAGTACAGCGGAGTGTAACGATCCTTGTGGTGAGATGCCCATGAGTATGGCACACGAAATGGAGAAAGTTAAACAAAATCAACCGATTAATTAACCACTAAAATTTTAAAAATGTCATAAATTCGTAATTAATTACCATTAATGGATTGGAATTTTTTCACATATCCTTATCGGGGGTTCAGCTAAAATTATAAAAAGGCTCAATATAAATTCAAAACTTTTCCAGCTTCCTCCTAGCTCAAAGCAAACCGTGATAAAATAATTTATAATTTTAACAAATTAATATATATATATATGTTTTAAAACCCGGCCCGGGACCTTCACCGGACCGGGTTTACAATTTCCCTATTCACTTAAAACCCTAGAATTTGGGATGATGATCGACAAACAATTGAAGGTCGGGATGTTGAGGCTTTTGAAGAGGAAGTGTCGGTGAGTATAATGGCGGTGACAGATTGATTTCCAATGAGTTAATCGATCAGAAATAAAAAAAAATCGACAGCGGCAATAGCCTGCTTTTTGCCGGTGATTGGCGAGGTTAGCAGGAGATGAGTTTGGTCAGGAGGCTAAGGGGAGTGTTTTCGTGGTGATTGGGAGGGTTGTCAACGTCGACGGTGGTGAGATCTAATCAAAATCGATCGATGCCGACCTTTTAGATCTGGCCAAAATTAGTCAGATCTTGAGTAGATTTTCTAGCGTATGAGCTCAAGGGATGATTAAGATTGCATTTGGTGTGCCGTCATTGCCAACCAGTCGACGACCGATTTATATTTCGGGTGTGTTTGCTAAATTTTAAACTTGTAAGGACTTAAAAATTTTCAAGGGGTATTTGTTAAATTTTAAAATTTTTGACACCTGGTTTGACTGGCTAGTTAAACTAGTCAACCCAAGACCCGACAACTTTGTCGGGTTTCTCCTCAAGTTGGTTATTAAAACATTGGTTTTAAGGTCTCAAAGAATTAGTTAAAGTGCGTATAAACTGACCTAAACACTCATCATTATATTAAAAAAAAAAAAAAAAAAGCTTCAATACAATATGAGACTCTCTCTCAAAGAAATCTTGGTCAGTAAATGCATCCATTGCAAAAAGTTAGCTATAGTTTAGTGTAAGTTTACCCAGCTATGAAATAGCAGCAAAATTTATATTGCTTACGTGTAAATTCAACTCAACCAACAAAAGTCTGATGCAGTAACCCTGTCACCCAATATAGGTTTTATTTCATTTAGCCTGATATGATCGCTTAATACAAAATGCATCCGTTATTATTGAAAAGTATTAGGTATGAAATGTAATGGAGTTACAAATTAAAATGTTGTTTTTCTTGACGTTTTCCACACAAAAACTCTACATCAAGAAGTCCTGGAGCCGCTGACATGAAACGTTCCATATAGATTGTTAACTTGAGAGAAGCAAACAAGTTTTGTAGTATATAATTAGTTTGAACCTCTTTCCTTTCTTCTATCTTTGCCAAGTCTTGATCCCTGGATCTCAATGTAATGACACACTAATAGCTCAGGTAACAAATAGGATTTGATGGTTAGTCCTCTTGCTCTTGATCTCTAATCCACTTTGTGGCTACCCATTTCTGCCCTCTGATTACTGGACAGCTTCCATGAAGAGATGTCTGCAAAACCATTCAACAGATATGGCATTGAGAAGGCAGAAGACATATTTTATCACAGCTATGCCCACCACCCCAAAAGAAATTTTCAAGTGCTATTACTTCCATGCAATTTCTGTGGCATCAAATGTATTGTAAAGAGAGCAAACATCATAAACAGAGGTTACACATTAGATCTTCAAATAAATTTGGATTAACTGTACCTAAAAATCAAAGCAATTCTAAAATTGACTGGAATTCACTGATTAAGTTTTGTTATGTTGCATGAAATTATGAAAGAATCCATTCAATGAAGTAGAGGTCACTTTTGGTCAAGCTTCTTTTGGTAAGTGGAGATTGACACTCCAATGTGGCTGAATATGTTTTTCCTTAAAAGACTTTTCAACTGGAGCAGATTGATGCCTAGATCAAAGCAAGGATACTATTGTCAGTTATGCTCTACAAGAAAAAAACATCATGAAGAGGTTATCATGGCCTTCTAATAATGCTTTAGTTGACAGATGGAACCCTATCAAAATATATCCATACCAAAAAAATTAAGAAAAAGAAAAGATATTTGATGCTTGAATCCACATATAGATTTGACTTTTATGCATTTATATATTTTAATGCAAGGGTTATTCAAGATACTTTTATGCAGCATGTATCTTAATGCATTTATAGAGGTCAGCTGATAAGTTATAAAATGGGAACAAGCAAAATTTCAATAAATTGACACAAGATGCTTTCATAAATGAAAGGTCATGGAGAAGAGAGCAGAGGTAATACAAACGACCATTCAGGGTGAAGNAAGTTTTGTTATGTTGCATGAAATTATGAAAGAATCCATTCAATGAAGTAGAGGTCACTTTTGGTCAAGCTTCTTTTGGTAAGTGGAGATTGACACTCCAATGTGGCTGAATATGTTTTTCCTTAAAAGACTTTTCAACTGGAGCAGATTGATGCCTAGATCAAAGCAAGGATACTATTGTCAGTTATGCTCTACAAGAAAAAAACATCATGAAGAGGTTATCATGGCCTTCTAATAATGCTTTAGTTGACAGATGGAACCCTATCAAAATATATCCATACCAAAAAAATTAAGAAAAAGAAAAGATATTTGATGCTTGAATCCACATATAGATTTGACTTTTATGCATTTATATATTTTAATGCAAGGGTTATTCAAGATACTTTTATGCAGCATGTATCTTAATGCATTTATAGAGGTCAGCTGATAAGTTATAAAATGGGAACAAGCAAAATTTCAATAAATTGACACAAGATGCTTTCATACAATGAAAGGTCATGGAGAAGAGAGCAGAGGTAATACAAACGACCATTCAGGGTGAAGATAATATGTTCAGAAAAGAGTATATAGGCTCCGTTTGGTTCACTTTTTAGAAAAGTTTTTTGAAAAAAGTTAAAAAAAGTTGAATTGGGCGGGTATTACGATGTAGGATTTGGAAATTAATAAAAATACCCCCTATATTTGTTTATTTACAAAACACCCCTATAATAAAACATTAAAAGTTAACAAAAACACCCTCAACTCACCCATGAAATATAGACAGCCGGCCACCACCGTCGGAGGGTGGCCGGAGTCGTCGTATCGGCGCATGACTGACTGGATCTTGTCGGTCGTGCACCGATATGGCCTACCATGGATCTGGCCGGCAAAAGCCAGATCTACAGTTAGATCTGGCCATTGACGGCCAGATCTGGCCATATTTGCTCATCAACGACGGCCAACAATACGGCCGTCGTTGATGGTTAACGATGAACATATGTTGGCTGTCGTTGACGACTGGCAACGGCCAAAGATCTGGCCGTCAATGGCCAAATCCACGATGGATCTGGCCGGAAAAGATTAGATCGGCACACTACCGGCCATATTCAGCCGGTAGTGCGCCATTATATCAGATTCCGGCCATCTCCCGGCAGTGGTGGCCGGAATCTGGTAAATGAGAGTTGTTGGGGTGTTTTTGCAATTTCTAAAAAAAATATTTAGGGGTATTTAATTAAATTAATAAATTTAGGGAGTTTAAAAAAAATTAAATAATATTGTGAGTTTTTGCAATTTTACTGTTTAACTTTATTGGGAATACTACTAGTAGTATTCCCAAATGTGAGCCAAACGGAGCCATAGTTTCTTATGGAGAGGTAACAACAGCATTGTCCATCTTCATTTACTCTTCTTTGAAGAGGAAAGAAGAATCTTCTAAATGAACCTTACACACAACTCAGATCAACTCCTTTGTTACCATGCCGCCAACAGATCAATCCAGTCAGATTATAGTGAAGTGGTTTATTCTAAAAATTGAAAAATATCTACTATCATGTAGTTTTTAGCACAGTTGAAAAGTGCCGCTGTTAATGATAAAATGCTCTCAGTATGGTAAAGGAAGCAGTTGCTAACTGTGGGAAAAAGCTTAGCATGAGGAACTTCCATCCATATGACCACAAATCAAATCATGCAGACAGGATAAAAAATAAAAATCAAGAAGATACCTAATGGGAATTTCCATAGAAGAAAAGACCTTGAGGGAAAGGTGGGATTATAATAGAAACATGATCCATTCCCCATATGTTCAATAAAACCTAAAGAATTTGCAGTTCCCCTCCGTATAAGATGGTATACCTTGCACCACCATCAAAGTAAAATTTTCAAGAATTACAATCCTCAACTAACTTTACGATCCATTATTCTGATTAAAATTAGAGGACTTGTATCTTTAACTAGAGTTCCCTGTACTTGAAAAACAAAGCAGGCTATATGGATCATATATGACTTAGAAACAAACAAAATTACCCGATCAATTGTGCCATTTGGAAACAGCGAATAAAATAGAAGCCCATCCCCTCTCCGTGGCTTCACCTTTAGGCCAATGCATTTTTTGTAATCATAGCTCCAAGTTATTTTTGAGCCATTCTACATATCAAAAAATAGAGAAGCTGACTACTGACAGGCAAAATGAATATATGATAATACTAAGAAGATAAGTCATAATATTTCCAGGCCTACCTCAAATGGGAACATGGTTTCTCCACCCTCCTCCACATCAGATAGATACAACAAGAAAGAAGCCATCTGCAGTGCAAATCAAGAACAATGGTGTAAATCTTGAGATATGACATTTTCATAAGGAAGCAATTTCATAAGAACAAGATAGTGTCTTAGAAAGATAAATCACTGTTATTATTAGTTTCTTTTACATGATATTCTAGCTACTGAAACTAATTCATACTAAAAGTCTAAAACAGGATCTGCAACTACTTTTGCTGAGGAATTAACTTTACAGATAACCTATCAAAATAAGTACAATAGCATAAAGAAGCCATTGAACATAAATAATGCCAAACTTAAACAATAGAAATGATAACTAGAATAGGATGAAGAACCGAGAAACTTACTTTCCCAATACAAAAAGAACATAACTTTTGTATGTATGAAATATGACACAAGATGGCAATGACAATATATTGCTTATAAAATAGGCTAAAAACAATTTATAAGATATAAACCCAACGGGTCATATAAGGTATGCTAGAATGATATTCTTGCATAATATCATTTATCATCTTATTCATTATTATCCAGTGAAGTTTCTCAACATAAGATCATGGATCAGATTATCCATCAAAGAATAAATGCGTGCAAAAATATTTGACTAACTACAAAATCATGATGCCCTGGATAAACTTAGTAAGCAATTACCCTTTGGCTCTTTTGTGGGCCATATTCCGCTGGGTTGAATGCATCATAATGAGAATCATACTTCTGTCCAATCTCATACCGCAAAACATTAAATGCCTGCAACATGGTGTATCCACGTGTTACTCACACTAATTTAGTAACAACCTGTAAAGAAAATTTAACTTTTCAACTTTCCAGAACAAGGAAGAACCAGCGAGACATGGAGAGATGCAAAACATAACAGAAAAACAGAAACAAATATCAGTACCCCAAACTATTGCTCAGTTCAACAAATGAAGCAAGCAAAAATTAGAATCATGATGTAGATAATCTAATTTCAATTGCTACCCAGGAGCCACTAAGGTAAATTATAATTAACTTTGTTATTCTTGGATTCACCACCTACCCTAATTCCACCCCATCCTTTATCACTTGACCTAGAGACCAAGAGCATCTTCTTACACATCTTCGAAACAACAGTCATTCAGATTCAAGCAGTTTTCTACTGTTCCCACGATCACCATTTATCACACCAGAATGCACTTAAAACTCACACTCACAATTCAAATAACTCAAACATGTCTAGTATTTGCACCCAGCTCTTAACACTACCCCCACTACATCATCAACCCAACTCACAAACTTATCACTTGTGAGAAAGTTGAACCTCTATAGTAACTGCTATATTCCTTTGAACATGCACCGAACCTTTATCTTATCCCAATTATATACCAAATAAAACAAACAAAATTTTGATACCAGATCGTACCTCCCCATGAGTCTTTGGGATCATAGTAACCCTTGCAATTTTCTCCTCAATGAAGTCCAAGGTTCCACTTTTATCTTCATATGCACTAATAAATGTGCCTGAACTGTTGCAAAGAAAGGTAAAAACCAGAAAACATAAGTACCACAAGCAGCAACCAAGTTAATGTCTTGTCAATTATTCACACATCAGAAACAATATCTTTTTATATGACTCAAATCTATAGGCCTATCCGATTCTATACGTTACATTAAATACTTTTGTACTCATTAAATCTTTTACTCTGACAAACATTTTGGGAGAAGTAGATTCATTAAGCTCAAAAGCGACAATGCATAAGAGTAAAATTTGAATGACAATGGTACAAAAACCACCTTGTTCTAGTCCCCTTAGTACTCTCAGCAGTTTCTCCCTTTCGTAAAGCCAGGGTTGACGGCTTAAGGCGCAACTTCGCTATTTCAATAATGTTTTGGCATTGTTCTGCAGTAGCAAAGTTTGGGAAAAAAAGAGCTCGTGGCTGCCAACTCAAAACCTGCATTTTACAATAAAACAAGCCTAATGAAATTGGAAGAACTGTCAAATGTAATAAATTACCCATAAATTGCTACAAGAAACAATGCCTTAAGCTGCCAATTAAACAAATCCTTCCTCCGTAATAAACAATCTCTATAATTGATCCAATTTTTATAAACCCTTAGACACCAAAATGAGTCCCAATTCAAATTTAATCATATATCATCCATAATAACAGATAGCCAGTTCAGATCAAACAATTGAAATATTAGAATAAAAAAATAAAAATCACCTGAAATGGAATTGAATGAAGAGAAGCCTCTCCAGTTTCGCCATGTGGCATCAACCCATTTTGCTCCTCCTGCTCTATTTCAAGCATTTTCATCCCCGGCCGTACATTTGGCACATCCTGCAACATAACCCACCAAATCAAAATCCTGGTAACATTACCAACTATATCAACTAATGGGAATTACAGCAAAGCCTTACTTACAGGCCCAGTGATCTTACCTGAGAAAGGAGAGTGGATCCGAAGAAACCAGCGAGGAAGAAAAGAAAGCACAAAACAAAGACAGTCGGTAATCTTAATTTTGGAATCGATCTCTTAGTTTTGGCTCTCATCTAGAACTTTAGCTCTTCGATCTTTTCTTCTTCTAAGAAGTTTTTGTTTTGCTTTGTTCGATTAAAACTGACGTTGAAGTTAGTGGCCTCAGGTCTGTCTGTTTGTTTGTCTGTTAATGGAGTTATGGAAGTGTAAAACGCGTTAATGGCGGGAGTTTTCTTTAGTTTTTCTTCGACAAGCGTCGTAAGTTCAGTGGCTGCCAGAATCTAAAGCACACCTTTGTACCAGAAAGCCTTTTTTGTTAGAAATTGGTTCACTTTAAAAGTGCTTTTTAAAAGTGATTTTGAATAAAAAACTTTTTTCTCCAACATATATTTTTTGTAAAAAAATAATAGTTACAGTGTTTAATATATCTAATAAAATATTATTCTCTAATTTTATCCTATCTCTATCTAATGTTTTAGCCTTTAGGAGTGGTTAATTTATCCATCTAATTATCTTATTCTTTTATTATATAAACTAAACCGAAAATAAAATCGAATGCTAATTAGCATCCCGTTTATCAAATTACTACTCATAAATTTTCAAATAATAAAAAATATATTCTTTTTAGTTAATTAAAAAGATTCGAAATATTTTTTTGTCCTTAGTTTAACATGAATGTTTCAGATTTTAATTTGTTTATTTTAAATTTTATTGGGCCTCATGCCCTTTCACTGATTCTGGCCAGCCAGCGTCCTTGGGCATGGATTGGGCCACCGGAACTGTAGCTAGTGGCCCAATTTCTGCCACAACTTTTTTTACACGTAAATCGGGTTATTTGCAGTTTAGAGTATATTGTGTTTTCATATGGCATAAATACGGGGGAGTTTATTAAAAAGACTTGAAGTTTACATTTAATTAAAAGGCTATCAGTTTTAAAATGTTAACTAAATAGGCATATTATTGATTAGGGTAATTAGTGCTTAATAAGATTAATGTAATCTTTTCAAAATTATACTATATTTCCACAAACCCGAAATTGTTGCAAATAAACCCAAAAACGTTCTTTTCCTCCCGCCATTAACGCATCTCTATCTGCATCTTCTTTCTTCTTCTGGTTCGTCTACATCTTCTTCTTCCTCTGCATTCTTCTTCTTCCTCTTCCTGTACATCTTCTTCCTCATTCCTCTATATTCCTTGTTCCTCCGCCATTAACACTTTCTTTCCTCCCACCATTAACATCTTTCCGGCAAAGATCCCTCCTCCTCCTCCTGACATTTCGTCTAAGTAGTGTATCTCCTTTTTACATTTATATTTAGATTTACAAAGATTTAATAATGGATGGGGTTTGGGTTAGATTTTGATTTAGTTGTTTAGGTTGTGGGTTGTGTTTGATGTAATGCAACTTGAAAGGAGTGAAATTTGTTGAAAATTTGTTCTGGGTATTTATTTTCTGGGTATGATGGATCGATTGTAGGTGGAGATGACTGAAATGTATTCTGGGTACGATGGATCGCTTAAGCGATCTGGTGTATCGCTTAAGCGATCGGTAGGTTGGTAATGCAGCAGATAGATCGCTTAAGCGATCAGGTATGTGGCAATGAAGCTTAAGCGATCTGGTTAAAGTCTGCGTATGGAGCCGATCGTTAAGCGATCAGTAAATGGCATAAGATCGCTTAACGATCAGGTTGTTTATACTGGATCGCTTAAGCGATCAAGTGTATCGCTTAAGCGATCCCGTATAAATAACCATGATCCCTTAAGCGATACATAGACCAAATATGCGAATGTGCAGATCTTTTTTAAATATTGAACCCTTAGTACAGCATTAGAAATATGTTTTTCTTGCATACGGTAGTTGGCTATTATTATACATGGGACAAGTTGTTTTGGGTGTTGAATATTTTGGTGAGTGGGTGGGAGGAAGAAAGTAGGTGGAAGTGATCGGGAGAGCAAAGAAGTTATACCAATTGCTGTGAGCACAGAGGTTAGTTTTGATGAGTTGATTGATGAATAATTAGAAGAGGTAATTTGAGTTGCTGCGTAGGTGATATAGTTGTGAAGTATTTAAGCAGAGCTCCTGAAAATTATAAGGTACCTCCTGCTGTATTAAAGTCGGATGAAAGTGTGAAGTTATATATGATTGATATGGCCGATAGTGGTTCGAGGCCGATTTTAAGGGTTTCTATGTAGAAAACCGTTGGACATTGGTTCCAAGAAAGGGATAAGAGGATGTAGGCGGAGATTTGCCTGGTTTTAATTTGAACTACGAGGCCATTGATTTGTTAGCTGAAAAATCAAGAGTAGACGGTGAATTGGGTGGTGAGGAGGACACTATAGAGAGGTGTGGTGATGGGGGCAGAATGAAATGTTGAGGAGGAGGACCCCGTAGATGTTCCCACAGATGTAGAGATCTTTAAATACAGTTATGCAGAAGGCGTACATTGTGAGGAAGAGAACACTATGGTCGTTTATGTAGGTTCAAAGGGGGCAATTGGAGCTAGTAGTGAATCAGCTCATGTCTTTACGGATGGATCGGAGTTGCCACTAGGGTATTTATTGACAACAAAGAGGAAGTGGTGAGGAAGCTAAAACTTGTTGCTATGAAAGGTAATTTTGAGTTCATCACCAAAAATCAAATTCATTGGCTGTGACGGTTGCATGTCGTGACCGAAATGCAAGTGGCGGATTTATTGTAGAAGGTTGGCGGAGTCGAAAAAGTTTACTAGCACATATCCCGTGAGCACACATGGGGTTGGGACATATTTCAGGTGAGCATCGAAGCGTCCGCTGATGTTATTGGACAATTTGTCAAAAGTCGGTTCGTCGAAGGGAAAGGTCCATCTCCAAAGACATTCAGAGACTGTTGCGCACAGAGTTGGGATGTGCTGTTAGTTACTGGAAATGTTGGAAAGGGAGACAACCTGACAAGATTTTGTGAGGGGCACGCCGGAGCACGGGTACCAGTAGTATTGAATCGTACCGTTATATGGTAACATCTACTGAAAACTGTACAATGATGCATAATAACAATAGAAAAGTTGGGCACAAGTTTTTTCATTACAATTCATGTGTCTTTTATACATAAAGAGTGCTGTTTACAAAAAATGTATTTTAAAAGACAAAAACGGGGAAACAGTGTAGCATTCCTCATGCTTGCCGACGCCCCTCCGACCGCAACATCACCTAGAACCTGCATCCACAAAGGAAAATAACGGGGTGAGCACAAAATAATGCTCAGTAAGTAAAACTCTCTATCTGTCTGTCCCGTAGAATAAATCTTATTCTTTCCTTATGCATCTCTGATTCTATTTCTGTTTTAATAACATCATGGCCTATCTTACGGAGGTACGGCGATGGCGTTCACACAGCCACTCTCACTTCTAGGCTATCGGGTGGAATTCACACAGGACCAACCCGTTCTTAGTGACTACCGAGTGAGGATCACAAGCACCAACTCGGTTCTTCTAACTATCGGGTGGAAGTCACCTAGCACCTACCGTTCCTCATGGATTTTGGGTAACGATCACCAAGCATTTACCCGTCTCTAGTCACTATCGGGTGATGGTCACAAAGCATCAACCCGTTTCTACTAAATGTCGGATGATGATCACAAAGCATCAACCTACTTATCTACACTAACGGGTAGCGGTCACAAAGCATCCACCCATTTCTACTCATGGGTGACGATCACAAGCATCGACATCACTCTAAGGGCTATGGATGATGATCACCAAGCATCAATCCGATTCCCATAACGGTCGGGTGATGATCACAAAGCATCATCCCAACTATACTACTCTTCTAATTCATTCTATTGTAGCATTTTTCAATGTCTCTCTACCCTTAGAGTAATTTTACCCACTAAGCTCTCTACTCATAGGTAATTGCATAAACCATTTCCTTACACTTTCTTAGGTCACTTTTCATGTACAAATAGTGCCTATGGATGGTTCATCTTCACCAATGCACTTATGAGATGCCAACATGCAATGTTGCAAGAATTAAGGTTCATACACACTCAAACCTCTATTAGGCATTTCATCAAAAACTCATGTGCACTATAAAACTCTATCATAGCCATGATTCTAAAATTTTCTTAACCATCCACATGGGGAAAAACCCCTTCACAAAGCCACAAAACCGCCATAGAAAACACTTCCAAAAAGGGGACATAAAACCCCTTAAATTCCATCTAACTACCTTGCCAAACCAACAACCATTTCTCAAATTTGAAGGTAAAACAATCACAAAGCATAGAAATCTCTATTTAATCCTTCATACATGCTATATTACATGCACATCACTACATACATCATTTCTATCAAAACCCTAATCAAGAAAATTCATAATTCAACTTGGGTTGGGTTTACTTCCTGTTAAGAAGAGACTTCACAAACTCTTCCTTTCACTTGTTTAGCTTGACTTCTCCTCTAATCTTAACCAAAAGAATGAAAACCCTCAAACTTCAATATGGGTTAAAACTCCCAAATCACACAACTTAAGAAGAAATCCTTACCTTAGGAAGCCTAGGTTGCTTTTCTACCCCAAATCCCTTAAAAACCTTGGGAATCCTGATCAAAAGAAAAGAGAAGTTGAGAGGAGAAGAATGAAGAGTCACGTTTGAGAAGAAGAAAATGAGGGGTTTCTTTGATTCTATTCCTTTTAATGAATATAAACACACTCATTCCATTTTGCCCTTGACTTTGGGATTCCATCCATATCCTTTGATTTATTACAAACTCACCCCTAACTCAACCTATTCTCCATGAAAAATCCTTACAATTAACTCCCCACTTTTCCTGCTAAATAGGGGTAGAAAGGTCAAATGTCCTTAAGGAAGAAAATATCTAAAACTCAATCAACCTTTATTCGGCCTGTCGCGCGGCGAAGAAACCTCTGTCGCCGCGGCGAAACTGTCCAGGAGAGTCCCCTGTTTTCAACACATCTTCGCCGCGGCGAGATTCTTCTTGCCCCGGCGAAGCACGGCAGACTGAACTTCTTCTGTTTTCAACCAATTTTCAGGGCAAACATTCAACACTCAATCAAACAATAACAACAAAACCAACTCGATTAAGGGCAAAGAGGGAAACCTAAACAACGTACCTCAAGCGGGGGGTTACAATATGCTTGAGTTGACAAACCAAGGTAGCAAGACGGCTTGAAGGGGACAGGAATATGAGTGTTAAATATTTTTTTGTTGCTTATGGTTCTGCTATAAGGGGTTTTGTAAACATGAGAAAGGTGTTGGCTGTGATGGTTGCTTTCTGACGGGAAAGTGTGGAGGTACATTGTTGGTGGC